TGGAATCCCACGCGCAAGATCTCCTGAGAAAGCGAGCTCCGCTTCTGCGTGAGGAGATCCTCGACTTGGCTACAGAGCTCCCTGTTCAGGGTCAGCATAAGGCTGCCGACGAACGAGGCGGGGCTTTCTTCGCGGGAGCCTATCGCCACGGAGGCATTACAAGACTGCGATCGTCCTGTCACTCATGGCCGTGGTCGATCAAGGCGATCACCACGTACATCGCTCAACAGGCTCCGGAGGCGCTCTTCACGTCGTTCGCCGTCCTCTATACGATCAGGAGGCCGAACCTCACCGTGACTCGGGCAATGAGCCGATCCCGAACATTGTCTTCAAGCTCGGGTCGTTTGAAGGAGGCGGGCTCTGGATCGAAGACCCGCTCGGGCCCGATGTAAGAGAAATCGAGGGACGCTCCATCCCCGGTTTCCTCACCGACTTCGTCGACAATAAGATCCTCTTCAACGCTAAGGAAGCTCTGCACGCGACCCTGCCCTGGATCGGAACTCGGGTGGTCCTCGCCGTGTACTCGGTGCAGGTGGTCGATCGGATCCCTGCCGACGAGTTCGAACAACTCCTTCAGTTGGGCTTCCAGCCGGCGCCGGTGAACACGGGTGATCACGTGGATCGGTCCTGGCAAACTCTCACTTTTGCGCTCGAGACCCCGGACTCCGATCGGAAGCGGCCCCATGGCGCCCCGGTCAAAGCCGCGGAACATCGCCAACGATCGGCCGGCAAGAAGGCCGTCGCCGCGGGTTACCAGATGAAGAAGTCCGTCGTGGCTCCGCTGATCGCCACGGAGATGCACCCGGGTGAAGCGATCGCCTTCGCCGTGGAAGCTACGCACCCGTTCACAAAGGACGCGGATATCGACCCAGCCCTCCTTGATGTTCTGGAGCAAATTGTTCGTGATCCTGCTCAAGTGCGCGATCGTCGAGCCTCTCTTCTGCAGCATTGGGAACAGCGAGCTCAAGATTTGCTCCCGTCCTCGGACTCCTTGCTCAAGCAGATACCAGATCAGCATCTGCGCCGTCTTCTTCGCGGCGGCCCAGACGGTCGTCCACTGGAAATGGGTCAGTTTTTCCACGTCGCCCTTTGGCGGGAGCTCATGAATGAGGCCAAATGCAGTGACACTGACCTGGTAGATCAGATCATGGCGGGCATGCCGATCGTCGGCGATATTGCCTCCTCCCACCGATGGAAGCCCGATCGCAAACCTCATGCGGAGCATCTCTCGGTTGATGCCCTTCGCTCGAGGGCCTGGGAATTTCGATCGAAGGTGTTAGGCGCGATTCGGAAATCTCCGATCACCGAGCACTCTCCCAAGGTCTGGGAAGGGACCATGGAAGATGTTCGAGAAGGGTCGGCGATCGGTCCCTTCTTCGACGAGGCCGAAGTCTCGGAGTTCGTCGGCGATGATCGTTGGATCCCTACTCAGCGCTTTGAAGTGGTTCAAAAGAACAAAGTCAGGGGAGTTGACAGTGCTACCTCAAATGGGATCAACATGGCGACGATCGTCACCGAGAAACTCGAACTCCCCTCGACGGACGCGAACGTGGCGGTGATCAAGTGGCTGCGCTCGCGGCTGCCGAAGTCCCCGCTACGTGGTTGGGTCCTGGACGAGCGGCGAGCCTATCGGCAGGTGCCGATCTCTCCGGCCCATCGCAAGTGGAGTGTGGTCGCTCTGAAGGATCCGGCCACGGGAAAGGTGGCGTTCTTCGTGATGGTCGGCCACTCCTTCGGCTTGGTCTCGGCCGTCTATAACTACAACCGCCGCTCGGCTGCGATTACCGACATTCTCAGGCGCGTGTTCATCGTGGCCGGCTTCAACTTCTATGACGACAAGTACGGCTTCGAGCCGGAGGCCACGGCAGATAGTGCGTTCGCGCTGGCCGAGAAGGTCCATTGGTGGCTCGGGGCCCGGTTCGATCAGCAGAAGCTCCAGCTCTGCTCGGATCCCACGATCCTGGGCGTGACCTATGACCTCGATCAGTACTTGCTCAAGATCAAGAAGTCCAGGAAGCAGGACTGAGATGATTGGAGGAGTGATGTTCACTAGGGACGATCAGCCTAGGCAATTCGCCTCGGGGGTGTCACGGCAGATCATGTCGAGGTGGTTCCCCCGGAAAACCCAAATTTGCATGATCGAACTTTTGGCCGCGGTCGCTGCGATACAGACTTTCAGGGAAGAGATCCGTGGAAAGCTGGTCCTCCTCTTTATCGATTCCGAGCCTGTAGAGGCAGCTTTGATCAAAGGCTACTCTGCAAAAGAGGACGTCTGCGAGCTCGTAGGAATTTTCTGGGAGCTTGTTCTGGAGCTTAGGTGCTCTGTTTTTATCGATCGGGTACCGACCGATTCGAACCCGGCGGATAATCCCTCTCGTGGTGATGTCGCTACAGGTCTGATGTGTGGTTGGATCACGGTCCTCTCGGACTTTCCGAAAGGAGTTTGAGGGCCTGGGAATATCGCTTGTCTGATGTGTCCGATCGTATGATGTTGCGGTCTGTGGCGAATGCCATGGCGCACCCCTCGGCGATCGGGGGTCCGATCGGACTTGTGAAGATCAAGTGAAATTTTGATGATCCGACTGTGGCCGACTCCCACGTTGCGGTCGCATGAAAAAGGTGTGATCGCCGATAGTCTGTTCAGTGAGGGCACCGAACGTCTGCGATCGTAGTAACTGGTCTCCTAATTATCGGTCTGGTGGGTAGGAATTAGGAGATCAGTTTCGCGATCGTTGGAACAGACTTGATCTTTCTTTTCCGTGGCCATTTTGGCGATAGCCGATCGGGCCATACCGAAAAATCACCCTCTCCGCCCTATCTGTTCTTTTCGGTATGCGGGATCCTCGCAACGACGTTGGCCTTCAAGCGCTCGCTTTTGGCGACACAGATCAGCTATGCCGTCCCTGCGTAGATTGCGGCTTGTTCACCGGCTGCTTCTGCGACGGGGACGGCCAAGACGAATGTTACGCAGCCGTTCGGGTCCCCCGCGAAGACTGGGCTCCCAACCAGCGCACTCCTTTGTGCACGGCTTGCGATCGTCGCCTGGATATGTGTCATTTCTGCCGAAAGACACCCTGGGTCACGCCGCCGGCTCATCGTGATCGCGATCGTCACCAGCCGGCCGGCTACGATCACGGGGCAGATCCTCCCCTCAACTGGGATCAAGTGATGGGCGTGCCCTCTGTTCAGCGGCCGGTGCCCAAAGCGCCCCCGGCCAAAGCTCATCGCAACAGAGGCAGGGATCAGCCGGTCTACTATGTGGATCCCAAGGCTGGTCCTCCACGCCAAGGCCGAGCGGCTCCGAAAGGGCGTTCTCCTTTGTTCGCCGAGCCTGCTCAGTACATAGTTCCAGGGCAGCCCCCCAGATCGCTCGACGCCGTGCCCGCTGACGTTCACATCAGCGGACCGGCTCACTATGTCATTCCGGGGCAGCCCCCACGGCGGCTGGATCAGCTCCCGCCCGGTACGCAGCTCCCTCCCGGCACCGAGATCATGGTGCCTACGAGGAGCTCGAGTCCGCCGCCCAAAGCGCCGCCGACTCCCGCCCAGATCGCGGCGTACCAGGCTTCTCGCGCTACTCCCGCTCGGACGAAAGCCAAAGCTACTCCTGATGCAGCTTTTCGTGCTGTCGAGCGGCAGTTGATCGACTTGCTCGGCGCGGCCCCCCTCGACGACGATCCGATCGAGGGGCCGTCGCCGGAGCCCGATGATCCGATCGAAGACTTTTAATTTTGTTCGCGGGGAATATCGCTTGTCTGATGTGTCCGATCGGATGATGTTGCGGTCTGTGGCGAATGCCAGGGCGCACCCCTCGGCGATCGGGGGTCCGATCGGACTTGTGAAGATCAAGTGAAATTTTGATGATCCGACTGTGGCCGACTCCCACGTTGCGGTCGCAGGAAAAAGGTGCGATCGCCGATAGTCTGTTCAGTGAGGGTATCGAACGTCTGCGATCGTAGTAACTGAAATATATATATATATATATATATATATATATATATATACATACAGAAAGCGTCACACTGCACGCACTCTCTCTCTCTCTCTCTCTCTCTCTCTCTCTCTCTCTCTCTCTCTCTCTCTCTCTCTCTCTCGGTATATATATATATATATACATACGTACATACATATGTGTGTACATACATGTGTGTGTGTGTATTCGTATATATATATATATATATATATATAGACATATACATATGGGTTTATTTGCTGATTTGTTCAGTTATGTCTTTGTTTGTTCTTTTGTACACCCAAGTATATATGTGTGCATGTACTTTGCTTAAGGACATCCGCATGCCAGATATCAACCAGTATGTTTGCGCACATATACATGCATATATGTCGTGTATACATATACGTATACAGATGCATAAAATACATACACATACATGTGCATGCATATACATACTCATATGTACATGCATGCTTGCATAGATGCATACGCATGTACGTAATTACATAAGTACACACATACGTACATGTATGCGTACATACATGGGTGGGTACATATATAGGTACATCAACATACACAGGAACAAGAACGTAATTGCATACTTTGCTTGTTCAGATTCACATACCTACCTACTCACAGGCCACGTCACAAATGCCTAATTACATACAAAACGGCACACTTACATACAGACATACACACATACATACATACATACATACCTCACATATCGTACATGCATACATACGCATGTGCATGCCCACATGCCGACGTGCACACTTACATACTTGCATACATGCATGTGCCAGAGTACATACGCCTCTCTCTCTCTGTCTTTCGCCCCTTCTCCCGATCACATAATTGTTTTGCAGATGTGTACATATATATGTGTGCGAATATGCATTATACATATATATATATATGTATCATGTATGTTTGTATGCGTATGTATATATATATATATATATATATATATATATATACATATATGTAGATGTGTACATCAGATTTCCTACAGTAATGACATACAGCTGTGTGCAAAACTCAGTCGACGACCTCTACCTCCACGACGACCCAGACCTCAACCAGCACTACTACCACAGCCGCGGACACAGCTGTTGTTCTTCCAGTGTTCCCTAGCAGGTCAGAGAAGCAAATGCGAAAAGGATACATTTGTAGTAGGCTAGCATCAAGGACGACCATCGACACTAGAACCTTCACAAGGCCAGGCGACATGTCCTGACACCAGGGTTGTTATAGACTAAGCATTGATAGCTTGGTGTTGCTCCACAACTGAATGTTGGCAATTAGAATCCGAAGTCCAGCTACTCGTTCACCATAGTTCGGCGTAATCTCTCTTGCACTCTCTGCTTTACATGGGATTCAAACCGGAATCCGCTGCCACCTGTCCCCGTCGTGGTGAGTCTGCTGAGTGCGCCAACGCTGTTCGTGGCGGACTAGCTACAGCAGCTCGTAGTGAATGTGAAGATTTCGCAGTTGCTGGTGGAGCATCCTAGACGCACTGTTACGACTGACATCTGAATCTAGACTACTACGTAAGTTATAGAAGGATGGTCCCGGACCACGCTGTTCGGTGTAAGGAATTCAGCGGAAGGTTCTGCTTGCCACGGGTATTTCTGCAGTCTATGCGTTTGACCTTGTTTGCCCTGTTCTGAAACTTCAGAAGACGTTGCAAAAATCGGCAGCCGCCACTTCTTCGCAGCTGCTGCCAGTGGCCGGAACGAGCCAAGTCGTTCCGGGATCGTGCTTGCCTTCTCTATACAGCTATAATTAGGTCACACCGCAGTCAAGAGATGAGCAAGAGACCGCTGCAACACAACACCGGGGTGCATTGTCTGCAAGCAAGAAGGCTCATGCCCATCCTTTGAGAAAGTGGGGCGGAGAACCCTTGCATAGCCATGAAGCCAGCGGGCCCAGCACTGTCGGATGAGGAGTTCTCCGACCACCAGGCCAGAAGCCTCCGCTAAGTCATGACGGCTGAGAAAAAACTAACTAACCCTGAGGGTCCATGTACCCAAGTGGTATATGTATACTTTGGGCCCAATGTACCTATATAGGGAGTACTTTAAGGCCACAGTATCTACTATTTGGGCACATGGACCCTTAGGGTAAGTGCTCTGTTCCGTCCCGATGTTTTTTCGATCTCGAAAGCAGGGGGGAAGGGGTGTTCGTTGAAGGAGATCTTCCCGCAGGTACACTGCGCATCCCCCACGTTTCATGCTCATGCTTGCACGAAACAGCCTTATCTCTCCTGGCCTAAGACTCGCTGAAGCTACTACCGGGGCCTTAATAACTACCCATACTATTTTGGGGGTTCCTTACTAAAGGAGCCCCTATTCTAATCATTAAGGCCCCTATATTACACGATCTCGCTGTCAAAAGGCAAAGGTCACGGCTGTAGCCTTAGTTGAGCCCTGTCGGCACGTCGTAGTGCGTTAAGGCACATAAGACCACAGCCAAATTTATCACATACCCCAGGAATCCGAAGCCGCAAGAAAATGATATGTAGGGGCCTACTCATACTACGTTTTCTCTTGGGGGGGGATCCTTTCTGTATACTTATATGGTATAATGAACCCTCAAAGCCCTCTTCTAGTTCTTAAGGCCCCTATATCATAGCACCCTACTATAGATCCCTTCTAGCAATTACCCCTTGTAGACCCCTTTAAAGGAACCCTAGGGATCCCTGTATTAAAGCCGACTCCTGGGAGGAGATCGCGGAGGTGCCGCCCACGCATAAAGCGAATCCAGGCGATCGCGGTACAGGTCTTGACCTAAACCATAACGCTTTCAGGATCCTTTAAGGATTACTTTAATTTCAGGATCCTTTCAGGATCCTTTAAGGATTACTTTAAGTTCAGGATCCTTTCAGGATCCTTTAAGGATTACTTTAATTTCAGGATCCTTTAAGGATTACTTTAATTTCAGGATCCTTTAAGGATTACTTTAATTTCAGGATCCTTTCAGGATCCTTTAAGGATTACTTTAATTTCAGGATCCTTTAAGGATTACTTTAATTTCAGGATCCTTTAAGGATTACTTTAATTTCAGGATCCTTTCAGGATCCTTTAAGGATTACTTTAATTTCAGGATCCTTTAAGGATTACTTTAATTTCAGGATCCTTTAAGGATTACTTTAATTTCAGGATCCTTTAAGGATTACTTTAAGAGTCACTATAAGGCTTCTACCGCATTTGCAAGATGGCTCTTGAATTCCATAATATCCTTAAGGGTCCATGTACCCTAGTAGTATATACTTTGGCCCCAAATCAGGTATATAGGAGTTACTGTAAAGCCAAAGTATATACTGTTTGGTACATGGAGCCTTCGGGTAAGCTTCCCCTAAACCCTAAACCCCAAACCCTAAACCCTAAACCCAAACCCAAACCCTAAAGCCTAACTCATATGGTCTCCGAATGGAAGGGGCCTGGACCCCGGGTGTCAAGATTGGAAGTTGGTTTCAGGGTCGGCACTTACGACCGAGAAGCACACCCACTACAGGGGCAGCAGATTACACCAACCTGGTACGTTCGAAGCAACTGCAAACTATACTATAGATCTGTCGCAAAGTCACACAGCCAGGAAGCTAGCAAGGGAATGTTAAAGTCACGTCGAGGAACAGCAAACAGGCAAGAGTAATGCAAGCCTCCCCACAAACCCATCCGATACTAGGCAGTTGAGTTTGGATTCACCAACTTTTTGGTCAGTACATGTCAGGGTCCTATCCAGCAGGAACCGAGGAAACAGAGCAGGTAGAACACGAAACCGTAACACAGTCTTGCACGCAGCCCAACAAATTCTCAAAGATCTTTCACCCCATATCATGAGCCCTTACTTCCATCATAACCCTAAAACCCCTCTCCCCCAAGCTCTAGAGCGTGAGTTTCATTTAGAGGCCACCTATGGTCTGCGACAGAAGCAGAGTTCGACGTCCAGGAGTGAGGGTGGTTTAGATGGTTCGGTTGAGGTGATGCATGGTTTGCAAGTTTGGAGTTTAGCTGGTGTAGCTTCGACAGTGTAGAGTTCGTGCAGGATCTGGTTTGCTGGGTGTGTCGACTTAGGATCTATAATAGAATCTATAAGCTCTAGGGTGCAGTGTTGGGGACTTCCCGAGCCTTGAATCCAGAAGCTGTGGAGTTTTACTTCGGTCCAAAGCGAGCTTCAGAGGTGTCGGCTATGAAGACCTGCGGCTGCATGACCCAAGGCTACTCCAGGACACATCGCTATACCCGACAGGCCCATACCGAGCTACATACACCGCTCACCGCTTTTATGCAGCATCCCTCCGAGATAAGGGTTCTGGGGATGAAGGTCTCGGGATTCACGAACAGGTTTCAAGGATGGAGAGTTCAGGATTTTCGACTTCAGATTACTGAAGGCTGCAGTAGCAAAAAGGAGCATGCCCCTTTGGGGCTGCACGGACGTCCATAAACTGATGCAATCAACAACACAGCCCGGCAGTCTCGAATCGAAATTCTGGGCTTTGGACACTTAGCTGTCTGGCCTTTGGAAGTCTACGGAGGGTTCTGCACGAGCCCCAGACAAGTCCTGCCAAGCACACAAGTTTGCTTCATCTACAGTCCCAACCCCGAATCCCAGTCCTAATTTTTTTGATAATACAACAGATCCTAGGACCTAGGACCTACCTTGAATTGACCAAGGAACTCAACATAAGAAGCCCCAAAATGTGGGCTCCCCGCTTAATCGAGGCCATCCCTACACCTGGACAGACGGAGCCGCCGCGGCATATGGGAGTTTCCGAAAAGAGGGGACCCTAATATAGTACCCTAAATAGTAGGATCCTTATTATAAGGACCCCAAACTAAGCTACCCTTAATTTTTCGGAAATTCCCATATTCCCGAAGCGCCGAGATTTCAGCCCCACGCATTTGCAGGTCGGGTTGCAGTCGCTTTACGAGCTGATGCGCAACCAACATCGGGAGGTGCGAGTGTCGCGATTGGGTGTTTTAAGTTCTGGTTGCCGGGGTCGCAGATCTACAGTTGCTCACACACAGCATCAGATCAGAACATGAGTGTATCGGATGTAGGGCGAATTTGAGGAACCAGGCGGGCTTTATGTGCCGGAGCTCTGTTAGAATCCTGCGGTGGGGGGGGGGGAGGGTGTAAGTCTGGGCATTCAACCCAAACAGCTGAAGCTTCTCTCCGCATGCTGGTCCTGATAAAGAAGTCTGAATAATCCAGCACCCTAAACCCTATAAGCCCCCAATTCTAAGCATTCAGGCCTTATATCTAAACCCTAAACCCTCAACCCCCAACTCTAAGCATTAAGGCCCTTGTATACGCTGGGATCCCAAGGCTCCTCAATCCCGAACCCCAGCTCCATTGCTTGCTTTGGCAATGATGTGAGCGATTGGAAATTCAGGGCGTAGAGTTTAGCTTTCAGGGTTTAGAGTTTAGAGGAGCTCAGGGTTTTGAGTTTAGAGGAGCTTAGGGTTCAGGAGTGTGTCCGAACCTGTGAGCAGTTTGGGGCTCATTTTGGCCCTTCTTACTTAACACACACGCACACAAGCGCAACTTACAGCATTTGTGTTTTGTGTTTTGTATTTTTTCTATACTGAGCTACACTATACTATATCATAGATTGTAATGTTGCAGGAACGGAAGTTCCAACAGACCTTACCAACAGCACTCTCTCAAGGTGCTTGAGAGGCTTGCTGTCCAGGATAAGGCTCTCAGCCAGGCAGCTCGGCGTTCCCGAAGGGTCCAAACACCCAAATAGTAGGGTTTCAAGGTCCAAAAGCCATTCCGAGTATGGATTTGGGACCTAAAACCCTACTATTCGGGTAGTTTAAAAGCTTGAAAGGCTTTGGTTGCTTGGTTTTCAGGTTTAGAGGGTTGAAGTGACTAGTCTTCGTAAGGGTGTTTGGGTCGCCTTGTGGAGTGATGAACATTCGGTTCAGCAGATTACTTCATGCATTCAGGGTGGTGCCAATTCCCCACAAATCCATGAACAAGCAGGGATCTGTCCCTTCAAGCCCGACAGCTCCCAGATGCTGCAACTCGGTCGATCAGCTTGGAGCGATGCAGCGCCCAAGATCATGCCTGGATGCCTTCCTCCAG